GCGAAAGTAAATAAGAGCGGCAAACCTATTTAGTACTTAGTCCTACCTAGTAAAATAATTGGACAATAAACCTTCCATTGTATTTATTACCAACTTTTATGTTATTCTATGAATTTTTTTTTCGCGAACTTCCATTTACAATAAAAGTCCTTACATCAAGTCAAATAATTGCAAAATAAACCCTCTTTTATATTTGTTTTAATTCTTATTTCCTTCTATGGTTTTTGATTTCACGACAGTACTTTAACTACCACTTTCTTGCGCTGGAACGCTATAAACTATATACGAAGCTCTTAAATTTGATTTTATCTCACTTTGTGTTTTAGTAGTTGCCTAAGCGTTAGGCATTATTTAAAATGCCTAAACCGTCTAGTTTAAATCTAAATAATCGGAAAAATATGCTGATTTTAATTTAAAATATTTATTTTTAAAGTGACAAATGAGCAACGTTTAAAAAAATGAAACGAGCATATGCTTGCCTGATGGTAAGTGGGTGTTGTGCTCCATATATACCTGTATCTATCCTAGAACAAAATTCTGAATAAGTTATATAGAGACACCCTTGAGGATTACGCCTTAAACTTCCAACCAGTGAATAAGCTTTTCTTAAGTAAAAGCTATTATTTTTCACCACTGTTTTCATTTTTCATGGCAATTAATTTATTCATAAATTGTTTCTTTTATTCATTCTTTCCATTACAGCCTATAAAAACTCCATCGTTGAACAAAGTTCTCCCCAATATATAAGGCTCTGTCGAGATTTGCCACAATTGCCACGCGGGCGGGTTAGGACCGCAGGAGGCGGGTTCGCAACCGCAGTTTTTTATTATTTTGTTCAGTTGTTATCAGGAAGATGCTGCTGCTCATCTCCCGTTTAATTTTCCTTTTTCAACTCTCCTCGGGATGATATGAATTAGTGAATTCTCTTCAGGACACGACGAGATTATTTAAACAACTATTAAACACTACATACACACACACACACACACACACACACACACACACGCAAATATATACACATATATATATATATATATATATATATATAAGAGCCAAGAAGTGGTTATGTTTTATACAACTACCTACCTACTTATTAAAGTAATAATGAAAATTGTGGTTATGATTTATAAATAATAAATTTAATTTAATATTAATTTGCTTTTTAATTCATTTAGGTACAGGATAATCTTCTTTTTTTATAATATAATAATAGACATAGGGCCTGTAAAGAACTTCGCACCCGGCACTCTTATCTTTCACTTTGATTATGTATGTAATGATAAAAGGATAATAAAAGAAACTAAACAGAAAAGATTGCCTACCCCGATGATATCGCCAAAGGTCAATGTACTTTTTCCGCCTGCCCTAGAAACATACTATAGTTTAACATAGTAATGCATTTGAACTGTAAAATTTATATAAAAATATGTCTAAAAAATAAACAAGAAGTATGTAAGTTATTTCTGGTTGTTCCATAATTCAAAGTTTGTACTGACAAATATAAGTTATACATCACAGGAATACTAGCAATCAGGACAACAATATTAGGAAAAAAGGGATAGCAAAATAAGTTGTTGAATAACCAAGGAACGCCACAAAGTACGGTCCCGAGCCACCTGCATAAATCGATTTCCTCCATGTCCAACCAGGTCGTCACTCCATCTAGCGGGGGGCTCCCCACAGTTGTTATGTAAATACTATGAAAAGTAATAATTTACAAGAAAACTCCTTTTACTAATTCTGTAATTAAATTTGTTATAATAATTATAATCTAATTAATAATTAGCAAAGTTCGCGTTATAATAAAAATGCAGCATTTTAAGCTCTTCATCATTTTTAATTTTTACTCGAATCTTTTATTTTTATTTTAACATCACCATCATCATCATTCTATAGCAATACAACCCTTTTTAGGTCTTGGCTTTCTCAACGATCCTCTTCCAATCGCTCTGTCGCCGGTCTCTCTTGTCCAAGATGTTTTCTTATCTATACTCCTCAGACCTTCCTCGACACCATTCCACCATCAAATCTGGATCTACATCTGCGTCTATTCTGTTGCGGAATCCACTTGGAAATGGTTGTAGTCACTTACCATTAGGTGAGCTGCATGCTTATTGCAATATAACCGTATGATAGTCTTATATATTGTGATTTCAGACTTTGTAGTAAGGAGCTTGCTGCTTAGCATTCCCGTGCACGCGTAGGAACAACTGTTTTAAGTGGTTATACGAGCTTTAATCTAGGTTCGACCCTAAATATCGGAATGCATTCACACCCTGAATCCTATTACCTTCTACAATAACACCAAGTGGCAGCTTAGGGGCATGTCTGTTACCAAGGTATTTTGACTTGGATACGTTGACGTGTCATCCAAATTTATCCGATTCAATTATCAAAGTTATTCCGTAATTATTCGTAATTTATTTGAATCGACTAGCTATCACAATGCCATCTACGTATGTGGCTAGTTGAGACGTATTTTATTCGACGAGTCTTTCAACATTGTCTCCGTGTGACAGATAAAAGAAATAATTTGAAGATGGCTGTCGATAGGGCATCTCACTACCTAACTTCAGAGTCTATGGGGAATGGCTCAAACTGTTCGTTCTGTATGGTCACTTTGGACTTCGAGTTTCGCATAGTTAAAATTATAAGGCAAACAAACTCGTTCGGCATTTGAAGTATCAATATACAACAAAGTATGTGATTGCACCTGACGCTATCAAAAGCCTGCTTGTAGTCGACGAACAGGCGGTGCAAGTTCAGCTTACTCTAGGGTTTGAAGAAATAAGTCGATTTAGTCTCTGGTGGAGTGATTCGACCTGAAACCTCACTGATATTCGCCTAAGATTTCTTCATCCTCATTTGGGAAAGGGGAGGATGATTTGAAGCTATTCTTTTGTTTCCCTTTTTGAAGAATCTCCGCGTCTACCCAGATTATTTTAATGAGCATTAAGAGTCTTTCCTCGAAAGTGGATCCTCCAGTTTTCGGCAGTTCAGACCTTCTTATTCTTTAAACACGTTATGCATTTTTGCAACCCCGGACAAAGATGCATAACGTGTGAGCCCATCGCTCTTGTAGCTTCTCCACGTTGTAGTATATAGTTGCATTATTATGTTAGCCATTCTAGCGGTTACATGTTGTAGCATTTGTCAAAAATGTTCTTTGAATCTATTCACAACTTTTAAACACAAACAATGCTTGTACGTGGCTGATAGCCTCGGCGGAAGTTATTGTTTTGTTTATAGAAACCTCTAGAAAAACTGTTCTTCCGTACATCTTTCAGTTCTTAAAACTGATTTTTTTCGTTAATGCGCTTACTCCGTGCCGTTTTCCGACACAAATCTCGAGCTCTTTTGTACAAAGTTCTGTTCACGTCTATGCTGCTTTGTAGATGTCATAGTTCTATTTAGTTCTTTTTTGCTAGTAGCTGTGCGTATTCGTCGTCATAAAATTCCACGCTTCGAGTTTACTTCACTCTCTTTATATATTTTAGTAGCAACAATAATTTCTTTCATTATGACCTGCCATTACTTTTAGGTATCTCTATTGGGGACACTTTTGTACAGGTTCTTGGCCACTTCACATCCAATAATTGGTTATCCATTTTAAACTTTGTTTCTCCATTTACGTTTTGTGCTATCGCGGTTTAATGTTCTAGGGATGCTATAAAAAGGAATTATTCGTGTCACAATGAGCTTCTTAATAATTTTTGTCCTTCTAATATAGCCTTTTCCTACGAACACGACAAATTTTTATGGAAAAATTTCGCACACTTGATAAAAAGATCGTAAGCGGCTGCAAAATAACATATTAGCTTTTCACCATTATCACTAATGGTATCGTGAGGAGATGGGTCACTTTATTTATGGGTATTTATGGGTTCTAATTTAGTCTATCATATCTCGGTACGAAATCACTCATGTTTTGGAGTTCCTCGCAAAACGGTTTTTTGGTTTCGTCGCTGGCATCATTGATTAATAAATAAACGCATACATGTGTTACGTTGTAGAGACGACCCGTGACTCATAGTTGGGAGAGTAGCTTTCTGATTTCTTGGAATCCCAGTATACATTTGTCGAGTTTATGCTTAAGATTCCCTATAGTATCTGTTTCATAGTAACACTATAGTAATTTTGAAGTAGTTTGTATCAATTTTCCCGATTTTCCTGCACATTTCAGGTTCCAATACATAATCATTTATATCGTTTAATCTATGCCGAGGTCACCGTAAGTAAGCGGTTCTTTTCTCTTCTTTGTTGTGGACTTCTCTCTCACACCTTTACACTTTACCCATCACGGAAATAAAGCCGTATCTTTCTACCATGAATGATAACCTATCGATTAACCTTCTTCTTTACCCTGGCTTGGAACTGACACTTCTGTCAAGACAAGCATTGGTAGAATTAATTAAAAAAATTTATGGATTTCCACAAAATAGTTGATTATATTAATTATTTCTGTAAGAAATCTTGACATTGCTTAATATAAACAAAGAACAATAAAAGATAATTAAGTATCTAAGTAGTATCGAAGAATTAAAATGAACTTGAGAAGGATAAACATTGTAGAAACGCTATTACCATTAGCATTTTCCCAACATAGAGTTGATTCTGTGTTAGAGTTTGTACGGTACAAATTTAAGTACAATGAAATTTTATGTAAAAATTTATCGCAGAACTATGTTCCAAGTAGAAAGTTAAATATGTTTTCCAGTGCATAATAATTTCAGTCTCGCTACATTCGCATAAAAACATTTAGCACACTGAATTTATTTACGCAACAGAATACGTATCAAGTGCTAATAAGTTTATTGACGGCTTATGAGATTATTGTTCTAGTATTATTTCAAGCCTCGCTTACTTCACGATAAAAATATTATCTTTGTTATTCTCTCCTGAAATAGTACATCAGTTTTAATTTACTTCGACGACCGTGTCGGACATTTTCAATGAGTGTAATTAAGTTTAAAAAATATGAAGATAAATGAAGACATTCTATGTTATATTTTTTAAGGGGTAAGTTTGTTTTGTTATACAAATATTTAATTATTATGTTTTATACGTTATAAAGCCATGCTGCAGCTATATTATGGCTGAAGTATTCGTGCGGCTCGACCGGGAAAAACCACGCTCTCACAGAATACCAGAATAAAATAGCAGCTCTGTGTTTCATCGAGTGTAGAGAATCGGAGACACTTTTTACAGGAAACGAGGCATTTCATCTTAGTTCTCGGGGGTGGCAACATTGATTATGTGCATTTTGATTCTTAATCAAGGATAGCTGTAGATGTCTAGGGGCCACAGAATCCACTAACCATCAGGTGGACTGTGTGCTCGTTCGTCATATCTTAAAAATATTTTTTTTATATTTGCGTGGTAAGGAGCTGCCATAACGTACCACCTAATAGTAACTTCTTCTTTATGGTATTAAAAGTCCACTGGACATCGGTCTCTTTCTATGTACGGAGGATTTGCCTTAGTCGTCAGTCTTAGTGAACAGACGATCACAGTGCCAGACTTCATCCTTTGATGACGGCTGACTTAATTGAGATAGTTACCGCCATCTTTCGTTAGCCATAATATTTTTCTGGTTCATTCCTTCAATACAGTTTATTAAATACCACTGCTAAACGTAGACCTCCCCAATAGTTTGCTTTATAAGGGGGGAAATTTCCAATTATAATGGCAATCGCAATATTTTGATCTGATAACAGGATTATTAGTGGTGGTGTAAGAATATCTTCTACCCCTTATCATTCAATGGGTGTCATAAGCGGCGAAAGGGGGAAACAAATCAGGAGATGAGCAGCAGCATCTTCCTAACAACTAAATAAAAAATTGCAGTTATCAACCCGCTTGCGTGGCAAATATCCCTCCATATGAGGGATCAATCAATCTATAGAGGAGCTCCACGTACAGCAGTGAACTTTAATAGTAACGATAACGGTTATCAGGAAAATGCTACCCATTTCCTGTTTAATTTCCCTTTCTCGTCTCTTACGATGCCCACGTTATGATATGAGGCAGTTGATTCCCTTACGTTGTCATTCAAGGCATTAATAATTAGTGAATAACGTACGTACGTGAGGGTAACATGGTCATCCGGTTAATATGGTCACTATCCTAAGAATTATCCAGATACCCTAATAAATACCCCATAAAAATCATCAAAATCTTTATGGGGTATCTTTATTAATAAGGGAAATAAATAAAGGTTTTGATGAAAATTTTATGGGGTATTTATTAGATACAGTAGATAGCGCTATTGTCAAGATCGTGTTCGCACAACATCTACTGGCCGGGCCGGGCCGGGGCGGGCCAGGCCGGTAGATAAATAAAACAAAAAGAAATATTTTTAGTAAATATTATCGTTCTCCTCTTCCACTGCATTTCTTTTTATTACAAACCGTGTTTATTTTCAACTAGCCGATATCCGCTCGCTTCGCTGGGCGCGCTATAATATTTTATTGTGGAACCTAGATGTAAAATATCAAGAAAAATTATTTTTAATACAGTTGCTCAAAAAGTGGCTTATTTTAGGAACGTATTGCGTTCGTGATGTGGGCTATTACATACTCGAGCTTTTTCTTTACCTTTTCCGAATTCGTGCGTTCTCTTTCCCAACTGTCAAAGTAATGTTTATTAAAAATAAAAGACCAACCACGAAGTTTTTACAAAAAAAAAATCATAGAAGTTTTTATGATTCGTGCAAATATTTCTAAAAAGAAACTACTAATTTGTTTCAATATCAGATTTAATGGTTTGAGTCAATGCGTTAGGTTAGGTTTCATTTCATTTCATCTCATTAAATTTCATTTTCATTTCAAATCAATAAAAAATTCTACAGAAGACTTGGCTGTATGGGCATCGTTCCCTTTGCCTACCCAGAATGGGTGAAGAAAACAAAAAAAATCTCTGCTTATATTCTTTTACGGTTGGCGCCATTTTCCAAAAATGTTCTCTGCGAGTTTAGTTTGTTGCAAAAAATGAGTAATTTCAATGATATTTTATTTGAATTACCACCACCGGAACTCAGTATAATTGTACAAAATGCTTCGGAGTACATTTTACCGGAAACTTTTCCAGTAAAATGTACTCCGAAACTTCAAAGACTTTTTTTGACTTCAAAGAGTCGCCACAAATCTACATACGATGAAAATATTGCTTGGAGAGAAGAGAAAAAAGCAAATTGTTTTTCAGAAAATGTTATGTTGGCATACTTCTCCGAACTCTCAGCAAAATTAACCCTTCTACGTTGTGGTCGAGGTTTTGGATGATAAAAAGTATGCTGAAAATAAGGAACAACGTGGATATAAGTGAATACATAAACATAAACACTCACGCCTGTCACCCATAGGAGTAGGCAGAGACTACGGACTTCCATTTGGCACGATCCTGACATACCTCTTTCGCCTCCTTTACATCCATATATCTACGCATACATGCTCGTCGGTAAAGTGTATTTCTAACGTGGCCCATTTTCAAAATATCACCTATTTGGTCGATAAACTTTTTTCTAGGGCATCCCTTCCCGACTGGGCCGTTCACATCTGCCATATAAATTTGCTTTGTCACTCTTTCCTCATTCATTCTTTCTACATGACCAAACCACCGAAGCTATGGTCACATCATCATCTTGCATACCACATTTATCTCTTATCACGCAATTTCTCACCCTGTCATTCAGATTCAACCCTAGCATATTCCTTAAAGACCGCATTTCTACAGCATTTATTCTACTTTCGTGCTTCTTCTGCCACACCCATGAATACACAAAACGAAATGATTTCTTAAAACGACAATCAGACGGTTTTACGACTAAAAAGTCGAAAATATTAACATCGAATGAAGTGGAAAGGTTTTTGAACGAAGCTCGCGATGATCGTTATTTAGCCACAAAGGTAATTTATTAATAAATACTTATATTTTTCTTAAGTATTCAGTTTACAAAATCGCAAAATACAGTCAATATATTATTTTAAAAATATTGATCAAATCCCTTTTTTTGTAGGTTGCGCTGATTTTTGGCGTTGTTGGAGCTTGCCGCAGAGAGGAGTTGCCAATTTTACTTTAAAAGATATTGAAGCCCATGGAAAAATGCTACTAATCAAGATTCCGAATACAAAAAATAAGACACCGAGAAGCTTTGTTGTTGAAGGAGATTTTCTTAGAATAGTGCAAAAATATATGAATCAGCGGTCCCAAAAAGCAAAAACCGACCATTTTTTTCCAAAATTATCAAAAATGGAATTGTACAGCTTAAGCAATCGGGATAAACAAATTTGGTAATATGCCAAAAGAAATAGCTACGTTTCTTGGTCTCCCGGATGCTGGGTATTATACTGGGCACAGCTTCAGGAGGGTCTCAGCTACGTTATTGGCAGATTAAGGAGCCAATTTGACGTCCTTAAAGCGACTAGGAGGTTGGAAGTCAGACAAAATTGCAGAAGGCTATATTGCTAATTCATTAAACAACAAACTAGAAACTGGGAAAAAATCCATTAATTTTAAGGTCCAGTCCGTCTCCTTCACACGACAATACTGAAGAGAACGTTCGTCCACCTACCTTCGTTGATAATGATAGTTCATCAGATCCAATTCCATCAACTAGCAAACGCCATTGTATAACACCTTTGACAAATATACATGAACAATCATACGAAATTAATAATAGTTTGTCTCAAACAGTAAATATGCAACGTAAAACTTTCCCAGTTAGTATAAAAAAACTGTACCAATTTCAGTGTATATGTGAATTATAACTTTTATAAGAAATAAATGACTAGTTATTTGAGTTTATTGTGTTTTTATTGGTTTATTAAATTGCTTCATTTTTTCGCAACTGTATTAAAAGTAGTTGTTCAGTACACGTGCGGAACCGTCATTGCAACTTGTTCCGACTGTCAACCCTCACCTTCGGCTGCGCCTCGGCTCGGGTAGACATTTGTCGGAACTCTTTGCAATGACAGGCTTTCCGCACTCGTAATGAAATATACTATTTGATGGGACTATCGTAAAATCCGTTCTTAGAGAGCGTCTACATTGCGAAATGAGTAACTAGTAAAACGTCTAGTCAATCGGGTGTGCAGTTTTATCTCAGTCAGTGATTCTAATTTTTTACCGTCGAGAAAAAAATAGAGTGTAACCGGTGAATGAAATAGAAGCCTATGCCACTGATATTTTACATATTTTTTTCATTAAATACTAATTTATAGAATTTTCGATATAATGAAAATGATCTATCAATAAATAGGTACTACTAATTCGGTGTGTATTATTTTAATTTCCATAATTTTTATTTGATTTGTTTATTTAGTTCAACATTTTTGGTTTATTTTTAGTACCGTAGGTTTATTTAAAACTAGTATTATTTAAAGTAAAAGTAAAGTTACAGCCTATATATGTCCCACTGCTGGGCACAGGCCTCCTCTCATTTCTGAGAGGGTTTTAGGGCCAGGAACAGTCCGCCACGCTGCCCCAATGCGTGTTGGCGAACTTCACATGTCTTCGAAATATTTTTTTTCTTATTTCTCAGACATGCAGGTTTCCTCACGATGTTTTCCTTCACCGCCGAGCACGTGGTAAATCAGCACTTAAACTTGCAATTAACAATTTCATTGGTGCCGGCGGGGATCGAACCCGGTTTGCTCGCGTATTGTGAAATTTACAGCGAGCGCTAACCCTCTGAGCTACCACGGCTCAGTATTATTTATTGAAGATCAATTTCATATGTTAATGTAAAAGAAAAAAATTGTAAAATATTAGCGGCATATGCTTCTACTCCGTTCACATGTTACACCATATATTTTTTCGAGATGGTAAAAAATCATCCAGTACATTTTTTCTTGATATTTTGTAATCTTACAATGTTTTTAAGTATTATTATTAAAAAAGTCCCGCTCAAGTTTCTTGCTGGGTCTTTCCCGAACAGGGGTTTTTCCGGACCAGTGGTAAAAGCATAAATAACCTACATTTATGAATAATTTCTTGTAATGTTTGTAGCATTAAAAAAAATC